CCCCATACACCCCGTTACTGCGTCCCCCCTCTCCTGACCGACCCCTGTTTTGGTTCCCCCCCCCTTGTCCAATTTTTTCACCAACACCTCCCGATGACGACGCCGAAAATTACGAAACCAGTCCGCAATCAACGCGTGCTTGTCGCCGTACTACAACCTGAGAGAGTGGGAGGACCGGTACGTGGTCACGTCCCTGGGCTCTGAGGTGCAGGAGTTCGGGAGCGCCAGCCACCCGCCCCGCTTCCCCCTCGAGGATTTCCATCTGTGCACCGACGACGAGCAAGAAGCTGACGACGGCGGCAGCGGCGGCGGCGGCAATGAGGCGGACATCGAGAACGGTGCGGGATCCGAAGGCGAGGAGGAGGACGAGGAGGACGGGGAGGATGCAGTTGATGCCGCCCGTGTCGGGCATAGTGGCGGAGGCGGTGTCGGCGGGAGAAATGCCGGCGGAGAAGGCGGTAGCACTGGTGATGATGTCGGGGCGGGACGAGCTACGAACCGGCACCAAGAAGAAGAGGAGGAGGAGGAGGAGGAGGAGGAGGAGGACGCAGCGGCGGGAGCAGGCGACGCCGGCGGCGGCGGAGGGCCCCGAGCAGACGACGGAGGGGGAGGGAGGGCGAGGTCGGACGGCGGAGCCGGGGGCGCTGCTGCTGTCGCGGGATCGGCGTCATTGTCGCTCTCCTCCACCCCGCTTTCCTTCCGGATTGCTGCCTGTCACGCCGCCAAACTCCCGTCCTCCGGCGAGGGGCTCCGCGGTATCAGCAGCAGCAGCAGCAGCAGCAGGAAGCGTTCCCACAGCGACGCAGGAGTAGGTTGGGACGGCGGCGGCGGCGGCGGCGGCGGCGGCGCGGGTGGGATCATCAAGGTCGATAGCAGTATGGTAATGGCGTGAATAGTGCGATGTGGCTGATTTTCGGGGTGGCAACAGCGCTGCGCTCTTTTAGTGCGGTGCTAGACTACCATAGGTGTGCGAGAGTAACTCTCGGTCTCCCTCGTGTAGCCCCGCGTCAACGAGCGGTTGCGCGCCGCGCCGCTCCATGCTGCGCCGTGCGAGCTGCGGGAAGAAATTCAATCGGAACACTGCCGGTTGGGTTGCCAAGGAAGCACGCAACCGCAGCAGTGCAGAAAAAGTTTGAAAGGATTACGGCGTGGCGCGAGGAGGCACGAGAGGGGCAGCAGAAGAAGGTTCGGGCCTACGCCTAATTGTTTTGGCTGTGCCAGCGGTGACTCGCGTGATGCAACACAGGCTAGCCCACTCTCAGCAAATTCTCCGTGCTAGATTGTGCGCGGGATGGCTGGAACGCGTGGAAGGGCATGCGTAAAGGTTTGCTGCCTTGTTCGTTCAGAGACCCTTTGCCATTCTTCCAAGTGTTCGTTTAACGTTTCGGGATAGGTGTGACGGTTTTCGGCCCTGTGAGTGTTTCGGTCTATGTCATGCGAGGAATGATGCGACGGGGGGCGTGTTGTCGTCCGACCTTGTGCCTGGTAGACGGAAAGTAAGGTTTCGCGGCAGCACCACACAACGGGATTGACTAAATCGGTGAGGGCCGTGGTGTTCAAGCCGATTAGGCGGCTCGGTTAAACGACAAAAGAAGGACTCAATGTGGTGTGTGGTAAGGGGCGATGAACGCAATTGAAATTGCAGATGGCTTCCGTGTTGTCTGCTGCTATCACAATCTGGTGTCTGCAGGCGGGCGTTTTTTGCTCGTTTAGTCTTTAGTGCTGCACAAGCATGCATAGGTGCTTCTTTGTGCGTGTTTCTTTTCATTACCTTCGACGACCTCGCTCTTTACCGGCTGGCCAATGTAAGAAATATCAGTCTTCTGTGTGTGTTCGTTTTGTTGGCATCGACCGCGGCATCGACCGCGCCATTAACCGGCTGACCAATGAAAAGGTGCCAAGTCTCGGTATGTGTGTAAGAATGTGGTTGGTCTCTTCTTCCTTGGCGTCGAAGGCGCTTGACCGGTTGGCTGATAATAGCAGACGGCCGTGTTATGACAGGACGAAAAAGAAAACGGGAACCCCCCGATGTTGTGTACGTGTGTGCTTGCGTGTGCCGTGTTCTTCGGCATGATCGTCCGCGCCCCCACGAGTTGATGCACAATAGCGAGTAGGTTCAGCGTCGGCAGGCAGGCGAAAACACCGAACGGTTTTACGGTTGTAGGAGGACAGAAGGTCACGCGTGGTTCGCTGATAACACGGAGGGGCGTGCGGCTGAGGAATGAGGGAGAAATACATTTTTCGCTTTGTCTGGCGTGCTTCTTCTTTGTTGTCTTGGTGCGCGACTTTGATTGGTACCTCTGTAGCAGCCAAGCGTGTGCGTGTCCTTTTAAGGCGTGGATCGGGGTGGGTGGTGTGGCGTGTGTGTGTTTGTTAGCATCGACCGCGCTAACCGGCTGACCAATGAAAAGACGTCAGTCTCAGTGCGATTGAAAATGTGGCGTGTGTGTGTTTGTTAGCATCGACCGCGCTAACCGGCTGACCAATGAAAAGACGTCAGTCTCAGTGCGATTGAAAATGTGGCGTGTGTGTGCGCGCGTTGTGTTCCGCGTGGAGGCGCGAAGTAGTAGTGACGATTGGTGGTAAGACATAGAATGAACCATGGTTGACGGTGTGTCTGGTCGGTACGTTCGCACGTCGCCACTGCTTTAACCGCTGTCGTTTTTTGCAGCAAGCGGGTTTTGGAACCGTCATCACACCAGAAAAAACAAAGCGTCAGCGAGCGAGTGCACGGACGAGCAAGGCCTGCATGCGGAGTATTGACGAAGGGCTAGAACGTTTCAGAACCCTTTTCTCAGAAGAGTTTGAAGGGACGGCACTATGTAGTTTGCAGGGGGTTCTTTGGTCGTATGATCGCGGATGGAAAGGTGGCTCCACAGCAGCAGTGGTGGAGAAAAGGCATGGCGTACCACGTTCAGGAGGTAGATGCCGCCAGCGACGGCAGTAGGTGTAATAGTGAAACGCAAGTGTATCGCATCTGGGCTAGCGAAACAGTTGTTGCTACTCTGCTGTTTGTGGTAATCCTCGTTCTACCGCGAAGCGGCAAGCATTGCGTACACACAGCACGTCAGAAAAAGAACCAGGAGGTGGTCTCCTCATGTGACAGTACATGATCATCCATGGCAGACGCGCGCCAAAGGACATCATACGCATGGCAGCCGCGCGCCGAGAGCGCCTGATAATTTCGGTGGCATCTTTACTATTACGGTGGCACATAATTAGTGGGAGCAATTTTTCGCTTTTTTTGGCGACAGTATTTTTTTCTCTCAAGCTGTGTTAAAAAATATTCTTGGACAGCTGGAAACAAGCACTACTGCCCAGAGGCTTTATACGAAATCTACAGCACGGTTAGCAGACCTACCACACATCAAATGAAACACGGAAACCACAGCTTTCAAATGAGCCGGGTCTTGCTCTCATCAGAAAACCATAAGGTATAGCAGTTGCCGGCGAATATAGGGTACTTTTTCACTACTTTTTTGTGCGGGCCTGAAAAAAAAAACAGAACGGATGCGAATTAGCCATGCATGTAGAACTTTTTGGAAACCCTACGATTTCGCGCACGCGCACATCAGACCAGCGTTGGACACAACGCAGCCGTTGTCGAGTACTGCATGCTCAAAGAGGGGCCTCTCAGCTATCGGCCGATGGCGAAGCCGAAGGGCAGGAGGCAGCCAACTGGTGGTGTAGTTGGACGCCCTTCCAAGTCGGACAAGAGAGCCAAAACAGCAGCAGCGAGAGGTCCGTTGGCCCAGGAGAGACTCCAAGCTGAGCTCGAGCAGCAACGTGCAGCGCTCGCGGCGGACAGAGCAGAGATGGCGCAGAGGGAGCAAGCGCTCAGAGCGAAGGAGGCTGCGTTCGCCAAGAAGGAGCAAGAAATGGCGCGCGCCGCTGCACAGCGGGAAAAGCGTGAGCAGCAGGAGGTTGAGCGCGTCGAAGCTCAGGGCCTGGACTACATGGACACACATCTGTGCACGACGTGAAGCCGAAGAAGGGCGAGGTCTGGACCCAGTTGCAGTCAAGGATGGTCCTCATGCTACTCTTCGACCTCCGCAAGGGAGGTTGCTCTGAGAAGGAGGCGGTGTTGAAGGTCAGTACACAGCAGTGAAGGTCGGATGGTGTGGCACAGCAGCAGGCCGATGTCTTTTTTAAATATTCATCTTGATCAAAGAGGGATAACGGTTGGTTGTTGAATCTATACTCCGGAATATGTGCTGTACACCCTATTTTTGCTGCCAACAGCAGTATGTTCATGTGTGGTGTGTGTGTTTTCGTTGCATTTATGTCGGGCGCGAGCC